ATCAAAAACTAATGCTGTAATGTATGGTGATTAACATAACATAATAAAAAAGAAAAAAGAAAAAAAATAAATGAGTTCATTGTAAAGGGCTTAGAACAGCATCTGACATGCTCTAGGAGTGTTTTGTTAAGTAAAATTTCTTCACCATCTTCAAAAAAAAAAAGAAGAGGATGGAAATAATTTTCATACTCTCCACCTTGATTTCATTGGGATGATTAAATGGAATCATCAATAGAGAAACATTTTTGTAAGGGATCAAGTCATGCCCTGATGTTACCCATGATGAGATTTTCCCAGACCAGTTCTACTAGCTGAACTATACTCAGAAAAGGGGCTAGCAAGGAATTAAAGACTGAAAAATTTAACCCCAGTCTAAAAGTAAATCATATTTGTACCAGCTCCCACTTATTCTGAGCTAGAGTTCTAAGATGCTAAATGTAGTGTGAAATGAGAAAACCTTGCAATAAGAACTCTTCGTGGGGTAGGATTATAAATGATTTTTCTTTCTTTTTTACACTTTCAAAAATTTCCCACTTTCCTGTAACGAAATGTGTTATTTTATAAATATATAAAACAATAATAGTATTTTTTGAAAGGATTAATATTCTAAGGAGAAAAGTTGATAGAAACTCATTTATAGCCATAAACACACACACACACACACACACACACACACACACACACACACACACAGGGGGAAGCTACTATAACATTCATGAGATAGAATGCAAATAAATGTCAACATTAGAGTCACTAGACAAACTTCTTTTTCAGGCTAGCTGTAGTATGGTTGTTAGGATGGTTTTTATCCAAAATAGGAAAGATAGCCAACTTAAGAATGACCACCAGCAGGTGGAAAATTGCCTCAAGAGGAATAGCACTGAGGATGTTCCTTGGGGGGAAAGTGAAGTATAACTGAACAAATGAAGGGCTATTTGACAAAGCTGGTTAGAATCACAGAACCTCTGGGTTGGAAAGGGCCTGAAAAATTGTATAGTTCAACTCTTTATCCAAAGCTTGAATCCTTTTTATTATATTTCCTGACACCAGACCTATTATCAGAATCACCCAGAGGGATTTACAAATACAGATTTCCAGGACCCACTCCAGATGGACTGAATTAGAATATTTGTGTGTGTGTGCATGCATCTGCATGCGCGCGCACACGTACATACACACAAACACACATATACATGCATGCACACACAGAGGAGAGGGTCAGAGAGGGAGGGAGCAGGCACATCTAAGCTTTTATAATGTTCCCTTGCTATGAAAACCACTTTTCTGGTTTACTATCTTCCCACATAATCCATACCATCTCTACACAGCTCCAACTAGTAAAATAATTTCTTTAAAATGAGCTGAAGTCAGGGCGCCTGGGTGGCTCAAGTCCATTAAGCGTCTGCCTTTGGCTCAGGTCATGATCTCAGGGTCCTGGGATAGAGCCCTGCATCAGGCTCCTGCTCTGCAGGGAGCTTGCTTCTCCCTCTCCCACTCCCCCTGCCTGTGATCCCCCTCTCGCTGTCTCTCTCTGTCAAATAAATAAATAAAATCTTTAAAAAAAAATAAAATGAGCTGAAATCTAGTCCCACATAGCTTCCTCCACTCCACTTCTATCCTTGGGGCCATATTCAATAAGATAGCTCTTTCTTCTATAGAGCAGTGGCTCAGACAGCTCTGACGAATTAAATTGAAGCAAACCAAAATGCCTTGACTCTTTTACTTTTAAGTAAATGGAAATGGAAAAACAGAATATAAAATAGTGCTGAGAGTCACTGTTTTGAATATATACCCTTTGAGAAAACCCTACAAGCCATAGTACAAATTCACAATGTCCTCTCAGAGCAATGTGAGGCAACTATTGTGGAGCCCAGAGGTTTTTATATTTTTTGTATTTTTTTATTAAAAGATTTTATTTATTTGTCAGAGAGAGAGAGAGAGAACTTACACAAGCAGGGGGAGCAGCAGGTAGAGGGAGGAGCAGACTCCCTGCCGAGCTGGGAGCCCGACACGGGGCTCGATCCCAGGACCCTGGGATCATGACCCAAGCTGAAGGCAGATGCTTAATGGACTGAGCCACCCAGATGTCCCAGAGCCCAGAGCCCAGAGGTTTAAAGAGACCCAGAGAACTGTGTGCTGGTGGGAGACCCACACAGGGGCACGGAGGGCAGGGAGGTTCTCTGGAGTTGCAGCGGCTTCCTTGTCACTCCTCCACACTAACCATGAGGGAGCATCTGTGTGACAGTCAGCCTGCTGCCCTCTCCCCACATTCCTCCCCGGGCTGTGTGGGCCCCATGCAGAGAAGGATGGGGGACCAGTCTTCTCTGGGGTGCCAATGCCCCACAGAGTGATTCTTGGGTACAAGTGACATCTTCCTACTGTGGTTTGTGCTAGCTCAGTTGCTGGATTGCAGCACCAGAGCGCTCAGCTTCACTGAGGACTCTTTACAGAGGTGTTGGGGTGTTTGGACAGGAGAAAAACCCTTTGAGAAACCTGTAGCTTGAGAAAAGTTGGTGACTGCCTTGAATAAACGTTATCCCTGACTTCAATTTCATAACCATATCTCTTTCCTGGGGTACAGACAAATGTGTTTCATGGACGATATCTTGGTGCCAAAAAGAGGTTCATGGGAAGGAAAGTTCCTCCCTGGTCCTGAGGACTAGAAGCTGCTGGGGACGCATGAGGGGGTTGGCTGTTCCAAAGTATGTTCCCGCCTTTTGAAAGCATAGTGGAAGAAATGTTTAGAAGAGAAAGAGCGTGGTAGTCTTGACTCAGGAAACACATATAGAACTAAGTATCTGATTGAGTGAAGGTGGGAGTTGTGGGGTGGCTGGGGAACAGGAGTAACTAAAACAGTAACAGACAGTTATAAACTCAGTCTTCACCTCACCAGATGTTTGACAGCTCATATCCCAAGCATTTGAATTTGGAATGAAGGTTTTTAGTTTTTCTCCTGTCAGTATTTGAACGTAATACATAGGTAGGACCTTTGATTAGTAAATTGTACTTTATTGGGCCTTCACCTGACCTTTCTGTAAAGTTATCTGGTAAATGTCAACCTCTGGAATAACCTGGAGTGTGTAAGTCAGCATATGTGCTGATAAGATAATCTTGAACATGTGGATGCTGGTAAACGTTTTAGGAAGGCGGTGTAAGCAGATCCCCTTTCTTTCTTTGTGCCTTATCACAGTCACCAGTTTTGGTAAAACCCTAATATGAGAAGAGTGAGAATACTTAGTTCATGTCACCTGTCACCACTGACAATTTCCCCGCTGACTATCCCACTCAAATGGTTATTTTGTGAACAGTTTGCCATATCTTCATATTCCCTTATTTCCACCCCTAGATCACTGAAAAGCAAACACTCTGAAATAGAAACGGCATTTTTACCTCCGTTTGCTGGGGATGACCCCCATCTCCTCACTGTCCCCCTCCAGCGTGACTCTCCTGGCTTGCCACCACTCGTCATCAGAGGCGTTGATAACATGGAGAATATCTCCATATTTAAAACTAAGTCCTTGACTTGGCAGCCCACTGTCCTTGCTCTTGTCATAGTCAAACATGGCTCTGTAGAAATGACAAGAGAGAACATCGTTAGGAACCTCTGCAGCACAGATTTCGAATTCACCGTTTTGATTACCCACTCCTGCCCTGAGAATCCTTCATCCATTCGATACCAGCTTCCAGGAATGACTCCCAGGATTGCAGTCTCCATTCCCACTACTGTGGTCACAAATCCACGTTAGTTCCTGCTTCTCCTTGGAGGCTGCAGGGGCAGCCTCTAGACCCCTAAAATGGGGGTACTGCTTCTTTCCTTGGAGACCATCCTATGTGGCGAGGTGATAATGGGAGATGTGACTAAGGGAGTTTAGTACCTGAGATTTCTTTCCCTCCCACTATAATCAAATGTTAAAAGTCACTACAAGAAGGAAATCATGAAGAGAAGTATGGGCATCTTTCTGAATGAAGCATTTTGTGTTATGAACAAATCCTCTCAGATATATCAGTCCATACAACTCTTTCCTTTGTAATGGGGAAACATGGTAACAACTTAAATGTCATCCCATCGGGGACTGTGATCCTTCCACTCCCTGGACTATTGGACCATTACTGAAGTTGAATGGTTGTAGTTCAATCACTATATTGTACACCTGAAACTAATATAATGCTGTATGTTAATTATACTGGAATTCAATCTTTTAAAAAAGAAAATGCTAATTAAAACCACAAAAAACAGAAAAAATTAAATAAAATAAATTGGTGGCAGAGGTTAATCCAATGCCATGAATAAGTGCTCAAAATGCAATAATGAAAAAATATAATTACACCCATGTTTACATGTGTGTCTAGAGATAGATCAAGATTATATGAATAAGACAAATCTTTTTGCTTGCACAGAATGCTAAGCCTATCTCAGCATCGCACTCATCACTCTGAATTGTAATTCTTGCTCTATGTACCATGTTGTTCGCACTAAAGAACACATGCTGAGCCTTTGCTAAACCAAACACACTGTAACCTGTATAAATTGGTGGGGTGAGGGAGTTGCAAACAGAACTGGAACGATGACCAAGACCTTAGTAGCTAGGTGTTGCCTTAAGTGGCTGACAATTTGTGTCAAATCTTATATTGCCTGCCTCCTCCTGTCTCCCCCAGTCACAAACCACCACCACACACATACAGCGTACAATTTCTCAGGAGAAGCAGATTTTGCCACCTGCCTGCTTACTCCCCTTTGATTCCATCCTGACAATTTCCTTGGAGTGTAACCACTATGCAAGCAAAACTAGATAGATCTGGGGAACAGATTTTTTCTCAGATCACTGAGGACCAAAGTATGGTTCTTTTCCTTTCTTCATTTTTTTTCCCCTCATGAAAAAAATGTCATATCTGCTGTCATGGCAACCAAAAAGAGCTGAAGACAGCTTGTAGAGCTCTCAAATATTGTAGGAAAATTTGAATTACTTGTAACCCAGCTCCTTCTTCCACTAACTCTGTGCCTAAGTCATGGAATTAGGGGAGAGCTTTTCAGTCAAAGCTCCCAGAATGACTCACTTCCACCTTGACCATCTGCATCTTCCCTACCAAAGATTTTGGCAAAGCTCCACCCAGGCAACAGGGGGCTGAGAGAGGGCAGAGGCCCACTTCTGATGCCATCACTTCTCTGCCTGGGTGCTGTGACATAAATGAACTAGCACTCTGGAGCCACAGGTTTTTGTAATGCAAAATTAGTCCAATAACTACATTTGCACGGAGCTGCTGCGAACATTAATAAGACATATGAGGCTCCCAGCTCATGGTAGGTACAGCGTAGCAGCTAGAGCATAGTGGTTAAGGATATGGGCTCTGGGGTCATACTGTTAGAGTCCTTTCTTGGTTCTACTACTTCTTTCCAGTCATATAGCTCATTATCCAGGCAAGCTACCTCACCTTTCTTAGGCCTCAGATTCCTCATACATACCAGCAATGATAACAGTACCCCCATCATGAAGTTGTTGTATGGATGAAATGTGACATAAGGTAATACATGTAAGAATAAAGCATGCACAACAATGCCTGGCACATAGTGACAATCATCAAGTATGAACTGTCATTATCATCTCACCTTTCCCTTGTGAGTGGATACTCATAAAAATCCTTTCTATAGATTCTACTCTGTGCAAAAAAGAGTTAACATAGCAAGCTTGAGATTGCTATTCTTAAAAAAACCTGCCCACAAGGATGGCTCTTGGCTGACATCTGGGAAATTGGATTTTGGGAAGGTTCTCACTCTTCCTATTAAGAATGGCTCACCATGCCTAAACTGTTTGTACAAACAACATTTAAGTGGAACATTTGCTTTTCTTCTGTGAGTCTGGAATTGTGGTATGGGCCAGGCAGACAGTGACTACATGATCAGCCCCCAGTAAAAACCCTGGACCTTGAGTCTTTAATGAGCTTCCCCAGAAGACAAACTTTTACACCTGGTGTGACAATTTGTTGCTGGAGAGATTAGGCATGTCCCACGTGACTCCACTGGGAGAAGGCTCTTGGAAGTGTGTGCCCAGTTTCCTCTGGATTTTGTCCCCAAATCCTTTCCCTTTGCTGATTTTGCTTTGTATCCTCTTGCTGTAACAACTCAGTCCTGAGTATGACTATGCTGAATCCTGTGAGCCCTCCTAGTGAATCATCGACCCTGGGCATTGTCTTGAGGTCTATAGACTGCAAATCATTTTCACATACACTACCTCATTTGTGATTCAATCCATTCTGACGAAGAAGGTATGATGGATATACTATTATCCCCTTTTTATAGATGATAGACTAACCTCAGCATACAAGGGTCAGCAACCTCAGGCTGGAGTGTGGGTCGTCTGATCTGGAGCCCTAGTGCAATGCTCTTCACTTTGTTCCCCACCAGAACCCCCACCTCCACCCCCAAGTCTGAGAGGTTGTGACAAGGTGGCAAGGATGATGACCATGACAGCTACCGCTCCTTATGCTCATATTGGGTAGCTTGGCACTTTGTATCTGTTGTCTTATTTGACATCATAAGAACCTGAAGGTAAAAATAGTATCCTCATTTTACAGATGAGGGAAGGAAGACCAGGACATTAAGGCACCAGCCCCAGGTCACATGTACGCACGTGGTGGAGACTGCATTGGGAATACGGTCTGTCCAGCTCCAAAATCCACATTCTTGGACATTTCATCGTAAGCTCAGTTTCCCAGCCTGCTTGTCCTCTGGCCGTGCTCACAATTTAGCAGTGCCAGGAACTCTTCATCTCCCTTCAAGGTTGACCACCCTCCCCTACCCCCTGCCCCCAAATCCCCAAAGTTCCGTTACTGCTCAGTTCTTGTCTCAGTGTTTTTTATCCTAAAAGTCTTTGAACCTGTGGTTTAGCACCAGGCTCCTTCTGGTTGTAAAGTGTGGGGAGCAGAGGGAGAAAAGCCATCAGGAAGCTGGCAGGTGGTTGCCAAGAAGGCAGGCTCTAGGGTCGGACTGCCTGGGTTTGCAACTTTTTAACCATGTGATCTTAAGCAAGTTACTTAGCTTCTCCGGGTGTCAGGTTTTCATAATTGTAAAAGTGGCCTATGGTAACACCACCTACTTCAAAGCATTGTGGAGAGGATTAAATGAAATAATATATGGAAAGTACTGGGACACCAGCTTGACACAGGCTGGGCTCAATAAATGGCAGCTACTATTGCTATTATTGTTTTTCTGAAAAATGTGCTGGCCTTGAATCCGGAGATCTGGGTCCCCACCGTGCCACTTAGTAGGCATCTTGTGGACTGTGTATAAAGATATCTACAGTCCCACTCTATCTTCCGAGTCCAGTACAGCACTGGGCACAAACTAGATCCTCACTACAGGTCTGTGGAAATGTTTCAGATGAACTTTGAAAGCCCTGCTTCTCTCAAGCCTGTGTCCCCATGTGTAAGGGAGGGGAGGAGACACTGCTCCTGGCGGTCCCCACCAGGCCAGACATGCAATCTACTGTGCTCTGTTCTATTCCCAAGAATCCCTGAGAGAAGGTGTCCCCCTCCTGCCTTCAGCAATAGGTGTCCCCACAGAAGGAGCTCAGCAACATGCACCTCCCCAGTTCTATTTATCTTGGACAATCTGCCCCTCGAGGATTACACTGATTTCAGACTTGTCAGGTCCCTGAAAACAAGCAGCTGATAAATTTCGGCAGCTTCTGACTCCTTTGGATATTAATGGATCTTCATGTCTGGGAGAAATGCTACAGTGCCCCATCACCTAATTTAAAAAGCGATAAACTGTTTTTAATTTGCTTTATGTGCTAATTCATCACAGCAACTTTTATAAAATGCCATTAAGACTCACACTTTCCACCTAGGGTGCTTTTAACAAGTCCATTAGACAAGTAGAATTAGAGAGGAATAATGCAACATCTCTCCTATCGCTCCCGGCCCTCCTGCATTTCACCATGTGGTGGCCCTTTGCCAACTGGGGAAATCTAGGAAGGGAGTGAAGCAGCTGCTCATCCTCGTGGCTGTGCAACATGATGGGGAGACACCTGAGCACCTGATGGAAATTGTGCTTAAGTGCCCCCACAATGTACTAAAGACTTTATATTTATCATCTCACTCAATGTACTGGGCAGGCAAGGCAGCATGTGGGTTATATGCCAAGCTTTGGAGAGAGAAGAGACCTGGGTTTACATCCCAACTCTGCTATTCCTAGTTGTGAATTTGGGGCATGTTACCTAACTTCCTCGATTATCTCTTCAGCATAGATGGCCATTCTTTCAACTACAAAATGCAGAGAATGATGGCATTAACTCAAAAGATTGTTACGAAGATCCCACCATAGGGTGAAGCATGTGAAATGCCCAACACCCACAGAGAAGGAGTTCCATTTTGTTATTATTTCTGACAACACTCTTGCCATGTCAGCGTTTTTTATCTCATAAAGGAAATGAGACCCAAAGTGCTGAAATGAAAAAAAGCTAATAAGTAGCAGAACCAGGATTCAGATATAGAAAAATGTGTTGGAATCAAAAGCCCATGCTCCTGGCAGTAGAATTAAGCTTGCAACTCCTGGCAAGGAACATTGTGCT